TATTCGATCCAACAGAATATTTTCAGAAAGTTATACCTTTTGGAGAACAGTATGGTACTCTAATAGCTCATTGTAGGTCCTCTGTAACTTTTCATTGTTTGCATTAACTTCAGTTAGCTCAGCTTCCAGTTCTCCAAGCTTTATCTGTTATTAGGCAGTGTTAAAACATCAACTCGAGATTTATTGTGCATGGTCAGGGAGCATCCCATTGACTAACATACCTCCAAGTCATCAAAATCCAGATGAGTTTCATTTAGTTGTGTAGGAGAGGTTGTTATGTCAGCTTTTGACATCTGCTCATTAAAAAACCTCAATTTACGAGCCATTTCGCTACACCTTTTGATCTGTAAGTAGAGTAGAACAACAAACATAACATGGAAAACCATATTAGACACATGGGTAAATAATCCTAATTGCACTTTATATAGTGATAGTGACTAAATAAAAAGTGAGGTCGACTATGGTTTAGAAAAATGCCAAGTTTATATAGTCTGTCAAGGTTACGCTTTAATTTATCATAAGGAAAGGGGTTAATTTCATTAATAGCAAAATAGTCAGCAATGAGAAGGGACTGCATATTGATGACAATTTCAAGTTAATGTTAAGGCAAAATTATTAAGACAAAATTGATGCCAAGGTAACTGGAGTATGTACCTGGGCAGCATATGTTCGTTGAAACGGGCTCTTCTCTGCATTAAGCTGTGGTAAAAAACAGTAATCAGATTAACAGTAAAACCAACAGGTATGTACCTAGAGCAGGCATCAAAAGCACACCATCACGATCAGCTAATGAAGCACAATATAGCATACCAACGTGGGAACTGTAACTTTCATTGACTATTGGAAATTCTGCATATGCGAGATAATTCCCAACAACAAACATTCATATGCTATTTCTGGGCTCCGACTACAACCAATCACACCAATGTGAACCATCATACCACAATTCCAACGCTTTAGAACAGTAAACAGAAAAAAAAAATGCACGTTGTAGATGCAAATTCCCCAATTTTGTAATGCTGACAGGAAGCCCCGATCACAAAGTACTACTTATCACCTAGCCACTATCTTAGATCGAAATCGAAAGGGGATCCAGCTCCGGAGCAAGTGGGATCGCCCGCCCCCCACGAGAAACCTAAAACTACCTTAAGCCTGGAACTGCCTAATCGAAGGGACAAGCAGGGGCAGGCGGCCTTACGTCTTTGAACTGGAGGAGGCCAAGGTCACCGAGGTAGGAGACGGTGAGGTGCGCGGACTCAGCGGGTATGATGACCTGCACCAGCTGCATCGCCTCTGACCGCATCAGATCCATTGACGGGCAGCAGCCGCCACCGGCACCACGCGCCATGGCTGGCGTGCGCGCGTGCCCCGCCGGGTCAGCAGCCGACGCGCTGCTCCTCCGTCAGATCCCTGGAGATCCGACGAGGTGTTTCTGATCGGAATCGCGCGGGCGGAGCGGATCTCCGGCGGGTCCGGCGGTGGCCTGATCGGTTCCTCGCGTCGTGAGGAGGTTGAGCGAGGGAGGAGGTAGAGACAGCCGGGGGGTGGTGGACCATGTGGGTATTATGCGGAGACGTGGCGGGGCCGAGCACCGATCGGGACTCTGACCCGTGGGGCCCTGGTGCCAGAGTTCGTATCTGGGTGCTTGTGAAATTGCGATTTGGGATTTTGTTTGCCTGAGCCCTGAGGCGACGAAGAAGAGTGTGGATTCCGCGGGAGCATGTGCGGCACTCTCCCAGTATAATTCTCCCAATAAGATAGTATTAGAGTAACCTATATCATATTCTAATTTATTGAGGGTGATACTACAGCGGTATTTCAATATATCTGTTATAAAATATGTTGCCAGCAGTTAGGATATTTTCCTCTCTATCTAGACACAAGATATAAGTAGACTATTCTTTATTTCTTACAACATAAAGCCCCACGTATATATAGTCTCGTCAAGATCTAAGAGTTTTGATAAAACCCACATATAAACGGACTAGGATTAGAATTTCTCTTTTCCTTTTCTTTTAGAATAGAGTCCGTATATTTTACAACCTTACCCTGAGACGGACTTGCCCGAGGGTTTCACCGTCTCCGGGGCGCCATATCTTGTCCCTGAGCTCACGGTCGATATGGATGATGACGACGACCACTAGTCGACTACGACGACCGGTGGCCCTACGTCTTCTTCCTCAACGGCGGCGCCGTCCTTGCCGCAGCACGACAAAATAGGATCGGGGGAGCACGGGGAGGAGTAGAGAGTGTCCGCCAACAGCTGCTGATCGCGACGCCATCTCCGACGAATAACGAAGCAGCGGACGGGCTAGGCTCGAAGCTTGGTTGGACAGGCTAAGCCCAACCGTGACCAGACAACAAATAAAATAGAAAATAATTAATTTCTTTAATTGCTGCTTTGAGATTCGTGTCATTTTTAGAAAAGGGAGTACCGAGGCCGTTCCCTTATATATTTATAGTATATACCAGTATATACCTATCTGATGTCATAAATTTTTGTAATTATCTTTTTTTTTTAAACTTGAGATATTTTGACTTTACAATAAAGCTGAAATGACTTATAATTTGGGACGCAGGGCCCAATACCAAAGCCATACGTGCGGCAGATTGGCCCCGTTTGGCAGGGCTTCACTTCACAAGTGAAGCTATTTTTTTTTGCTTCAGCTCCACGAACAGTTCCACCGGTGGAGCTGAAGCGGTTTTGATAAACCGTTTGGCAAAATGGCTTCTCTGTGAGAGCATAATTTTAGGGGCCTGGAGGAGGAGCCAGAAGAAGCCATTTTTTTTTTTCTCCATCTCACCTCGGCTTCATCAGTGAAGCTATTTCACTTTATCCCGTTTAATAGAAAAAAACGGCTCTGAAGCTGGTGGAGAAGTCCTGCCAAACGGGGTTAGATTTTCAGGTGACGCATAGATCGGGATCGTCGGATCGATAAAAGTAAGCGCGAAATTTGAGAGGCTGCGGAACTTCCGGAACGGATAATATCCATCCATATGCATATCCCAAAAGACCAAGCCTGGCCACGAAAAGCCTGCTCTCGCGATCTCCTCTTCATCCTTTCTTATCCGCAGGTACCAGCCAAAAAAGACACCAGCGAACCTTTTGACTGCAGATTTCGTGGGCGCGCGTGGACAAGGCATGTCAGTGCGACTAATAAGCAAGAGAGAATTGCTGATCGAGCTCTGTTCTGCTAGCTGCGTGTATAATTCAGTAATTAACTCTGGTGTTAATAATCAGCTAGTGAAAAAGCTGATAACCACTGTCGCCATTTTCCTTTCGGAAGGATGAATACGTTTCTCCCCTTCGTGGAGCATTTAACCACGGCTTGACAACCATGAGTATATATATGGTCTGTAATAATTAACGAGAGAAATAATAACTCTCCATTTGCACCATGTCATTTACAGTTGACAGTGAACAAAGCATAGCTCCATATGCACGTCATTTTAGCTACGTCCCAAGCAGCCGAAAATGACGTGCATGTGCTTTCAGATATGCAATGTCTCCGTCTACTGCACGATTTTTTCAGCCCCGTTGGTTGGGCCCAACCCCCCTTTCTCATAAGAAAATGAAGCTTGCCATTTTGCTCAGGCCTGCAGCGGCGGCAGCTGGGAGAGCTTGGGACTGGCAGGCGGCGGCCGCGAGGAACTCACTCCTGTTCCTGTAAGATATAGCTTCATATATATCCATAGCCAGCAGTACGTATATGTAGCTACACGCAAAACCTCAGTTCAGGCGCATGGTTAGTCTGATCTACCTTCAGTTTGAAGCTCGATTTTGGTGCTGCATGCATGCATCATTGATCGTGTGCATTTTTTTTTCTGAGATCTGTCGTTCGCTTTGCACAGATCTGTTTTCTTTAAGTTTTACACAAATAGATGACAAACTTGAGCAGGCGTAGTCTGCATATGTAATTTTCTTTTCTTGCCTCTCTCCTTCGATTTAAGCATAGATTTTATTTTCTTCTTGGCTCGATCAAATTACTAACAGAATCATCGTTTTGGTTTCTATTTTGGTTCAAATTAAGTAATGGATCGTACATGGATACCATCATTTACTTGTTCATTACTTTGTCGTCCGATCCATACTGCTTTCTCACGGTCAATGCATGAAGTTTTTGTTTCTGAAAAGAAACATGTATTTTTCTCTCAACTCGATCCAAAATACTGAATATCACATGTGGCTAGTATTCAATATGTTCCGTTTTCCCTCCAATTTGTAAACTGTGGAGTTCTCTCATCGAATCAGCGGACACATACGCATAAAATAAAATTAAGGAGTGACACCCTGCACGAAACGAGCTTATATAACCCCCCACCACCAAGCTAAGATCGAGGGCAATACATACACGGGAGGACATATATATATATATATATATATATATATATATATATATATATAAAACCGATTTAATTTAATTTAGAGACAATTGGGAAATTTGATAACACCCTAACTATTATGACATATAGGTAGCTAGCTTCTTCGATTTGCATACTTTGATAATTTTTAGACCAATTTGTTTGTTTATTTTGAAGATAGGTATGAAAAAGCCTCTCTCGAGAGCAATATACAGTATGCAGCATGTGCATGGTATGATCATTAGCAGAGCTAGATAAGTAGGCCCCCACGTCTGCGCTCCGCCACCTATAGCGAGTCTCCCCTCCTCATCTCTTGATCCGTTTGCACTTTGCTGAGAGCTACCACCAGTCAGTCAGTCACCAGTATTTGGATACTGATTTCGCAGTTGCTAATTCTCACCACAACGAAATTCCCGATTTGCAGTTTCTCTTCAGAAATAGTACGTCCGAAACGTTGCATGTATTGTGACTGGCCTGTTAGCCATTTGCTGCATACGTGGGACACGTTCAGATCATTCATTTGCAGCACACGTAACCTAAATTTTCTACATCATATCCATGCAGCTAGCCACAACGCCGACCAGGCGAGAAGAAGCATCGATCGATAGGGTCACACAAGCTACCCAGCAATTCAATCCATGGACAACCAGCCGCTGCCCTACTCCACCGGCCAGCCCCCTGCCCCCGGAGGAGCACCAGTAGTGCCGGGCGTGTCTGGCGCAGCCGGCCCTCCGCCGGTGCCGCACCACCACCTGCTCCAGCAGCAGCAGGCCCAGCTGCAGGCGTTCTGGGCGTACCAGCGTCAGGAGGCGGAGCGCGCGTCCGCGTCGGACTTCAAGAACCACCAGCTGCCGCTGGCCCGGATCAAGAAGATCATGAAGGCCGACGAGGACGTGCGCATGATCTCCGCCGAGGCGCCCGTGCTGTTCGCCAAGGCCTGCGAGCTTTTCATCCTCGAGCTCACCATCCGCTCCTGGCTGCACGCGGAGGAGAACAAGCGCCGCACCCTGCAGCGGAACGACGTCGCCGCAGCCATCGCGCGCACCGACGTCTTCGACTTCCTCGTCGACATCGTGCCCCGTGAGGAGGCCAAGGAGGAGCCCGGCAGCGCCCTCGGCTTCGCGGCGTCCGGGACCGGCGTCTTCGGGGGTGGTGGCGCCCCGGGCGGGGCGCCAGCCGCCGGGATGCCGTACTACTACCCGCCGATGGGGCAGCCAGCGCCGATGATGCCGGCCTGGCATGTTCCGGCCTGGGACCCGGCCTGGCAGCAAGGGGCAGCGGATGTCGATCACAGCGGAAGCTTCAGCGAGGAAGGACAAGCAGGGTTTGCAGCAGGCCATGGCGGCGCCGCTAGCTTCCCTCCTGCGCCTCCGAGCTCCGAGTGATCGGCGCGTCTTGGTGCTGGCTTAGCTACATGTGCATGATATGTGTCACGCTGTGTGTATACTCTCTATAGCAAACATGGTAATGGAGCTGCATACGGATTACGGAACGAATAAGGCGTGACGTGTGAGACAGTGAGAGTACGTAGTAATTTGTACATGCACGTGATGTGCCAATTAATCAATGATTAACATGCAGTTAATTAATTAATTAGCTATTCACTCCTCGTCCCACCCAGGTGCCTGAAATCTCTATTTTTTTATTTATATATCGAGTTCATTCACACGATCCATAAGAATAAATCTTCGGCAAAGGTTTAGAGGATTTGGGAACCTTGAGGTTCCATGGCTACTGGCCGTGGAGACACACGGGCATCAATATGTACAAGGTAGATTAAATTCGGATGTTGCATAAAAATGATATATGTTTGGGACTAATTCTTATCAACCAAGTTTGGTATGCTAAAATGTTTTGCAGGTTATATTTACCGTTCTTTTGTAGTTTGGTTAAGGTCAGTCTCAGTGGAGGTTTCATTTCCCAGTTTCCAACAGACCCATATATTTAAAAACAGTGTAGAAGAGTTTCATCCCTATGAAACTCTCTCTATTCATATGAAACTTTTATCATCTCTTTCTTCATCAATATAGTATCATGTCAGCATATTTAATACACATGAAACTCCTTGAAACATTCATTGAGATTGGCCGAAGGTGCACGGAAGACTTAAAAAGGTCCTTGAATGGTATCAAAAGGAGGCCAAATTGCGTACTGCCCTCGTCAAGAGACGATTAGAACGAACATATGAATCATCTAATTCAGAGTCTAGATAAAGTAATAATGCTTAGAAAATCACAATACTAGATCATCGGGTTTTGACAGTCCAAGAGCAAAGCTGTAGACATATTCGATCTGGGTCAATTTGTTATGTGTTTTGGGCAAGATTTTGGACGTCTCACGGGATAAAACCTCCCATTCTATAAATTTGTAATCTAACATCTAGAGGTAATCCATGTACCAATCTTTACAGAACGAATAAGGCGTGACGTGTGAGACAATGAGAGTACGTAGTAATAATTTGTACATGCACGTGATGTGCCAATTAATCAAAGATTAACATGCAGTCAATTAATTAATTAATTAATTAGCTATTCACTCCTCGTCCCACCCAGGTGCCTCAAATCTATTTTTTTATGGGAGTGGCCACTGCCCGGATGTCTAGACGGACGCCGTGTCCGGACGCCCGTGGTTGCTGCCCGCCCCAAACGATAACATTAAACACGTCTGATATACCGAGACACATACATACCAATAACGCGCGCGGAGTCCAAAACTTTCAAACACAACATTGACATCCATGTGACTCGATAGGACTCAAAACGCTCGTGTATGCATGCACCTCCTGACCCCGTCTGCCCGCACGATGCTGCTGCGCCTGGCCGCACGCTACTGCTGCCGCACCTACCTGCGTGCGGCTGCTGCTGCGCCTACCGGGCTGGCCTTCCTAGCTGTTGCACATGCACGTTGGGGCCGCCGCGCTCGCTTCGCTTCCCACGCGCACACAGGGACCGCTGTGCTCGAGGGGACCACCAGATCCGCCTACGCCCACTTCCCACGTCTCACTACGTCAGAATACCCTATCACTGTCGGTTCAAAATGCCCCATCACTGCTAGATTTTGAACCGGCACAACCATACCGGCAGTGATGAGGATAAGCTATCACTGTCGGTTCCTACAAACCGACAGTGTTCTTCAACTTCACTACCGGTTCTTTACACAACCGGCATTGTTCATTTCCACCAACACTGCCGATTTATAAGACCACCCGGTAGAGCTCAGTTCCAACAACACTGTCGGTTTGTATTTCAACCGGCAGTGTTGTAGTAAGAATCACTGCCGGTTTGTGACAAGAACCGACAGTGATGGCTAAGTCAACACTGCCGGTTTGTGGCTCGAGCCGGCAGTGCCATCACTGCCGGTTTTGTTGCTAACCGACAGTGATGTCACGTTCGTATTTTATTATTTTATAATTGATTTTAATTTATATTTTTTCGTGGAATCAGGTTTCGCTTTATATACGCTACGTAGACGACAGGTTCATTAATATTAAACATTACAAATGTTACGGTTACAATTCAAATGTTCTTATCCACATCTCGATCCCTCAAAATAAAAAAGAAATGTTCTTGGATTTCACACATGCTTCTCGGACTTCTTACAATAATCTGCCGAGCCGTTCTGGGCCATACTGGTCCTTATACTTCACGGATTGTGTAATGGAAAATACTCCATCTTTTTTCAATACCTCGGCTAAGATGAATTTTGCCAGCTCCGATTGCAGTGCGATGATCTCCATGTCCAACAGCCTTTCGTGGTTATATTTCTTGCGCCGTCGTTCAAAAAAGATGATATCCAAAGAGGAACAGTAAATCATTTTGTTGAATTATTAATAGACATAAATGAAATAGGGATTATACACACCAACTTATCGGCTTCTTCCGATTTTCCGTCGATGTAGCGAAGCATTGTCCACATTACATAAAACCCGCATTCATTGTTTCGCGCCGGCTGTGATAGGTACTTCCCCTCCATTTCGACAACCTTGAATGGGACCGGCTTCCCACCGATATGTCTTCTTCAGACACTGAGCAACATTAAAAGAAGAAACATTAGAAAGCGGTATGTGTGATTAGAAAATAATATGTTATTAGGATCGCTTACTAATTCAGCACTGCCACCAGTGCATCCAGATGATGAAATGGTTTTTTCTTCGAGTCCCACACCTCGATCATATTTTTGGCAAGATTAACACAAATGAAGACGAAATGGTTGCTGCAATTACAGAATCCTAATTGTCGAATAATCTTAACGAAAAAAGAAAAATAAAATTAAAAGTCGAGAACACATACTCGCAGTTGTAGGCTAGAAGTATATGGGTTTTGTTCTTCATCGTGAATTCGTCGAAAACAACAATCAATCTCTGTTTCAGGTCTTCCACGTCACATCCATGGAGGCCTAGACATGTCCTCTCATTGACTCGCAAGAGGTCCAAGAAGCCTATGTAATCCTATTTGCTTTTTAGAATGCAAAATTTTGCTATACACCTACATAAAAATCATGGGAAGTGCTCAAAAATTAATAATTTGTGTCTCGAGAGGGTAGTTAATTATAATATCGTGCGTGTAGGGTACTTACATAGTTCACAACGTCAACATTTGAACATCGAGTGAGCGTTTCTGGTATAGCTGGAACAAGCACTCCCACTCGACATCGAACTTCTCTTCTTCAGGATAATGAAAAACATGTGGCGAACGGATAATAACCTCAAAACCAAAGTCGTCCGTCTCTGTTGCTTGAGCCATGTAATATTCATGTAACTGGCGCATATATGTTGTCAAATTTTTATACTCATGATCGGGAACCAAAAGATTGCCCCTTTCATAATTCATTGCCGGTGTTGACGTCCCTTGTACATCATAATAGATGGTCGCGGCCTCTTCCATGGTTAATCCTGGGTTGTCTTCGACGTACTTCTGTATGTTCTTTAAATCTTTATTGTGTATTTCTTCGTCTCTTGTTGTAGCGTATTTATTCTGTGTTTGCTTTTTGAATTCGGACTTCAACAAAAACGAAGGCAGTGAGGCACAGAGATTGAAGAAACTAACACAATCTTCCTTCGAGATGTGTGCTGTAAATTTTTCTTTTATCAAGGTGGTAACGCTGCCACTGAACGACCTTTTTCTTTTCTGTTGGTCCACTTTGGGAGCATTAGCGACCGAATCCAAGGACCTTTTCTGCGACTGCGAGGATGTCCTTGATATTGTTTTGGGCTGAGGTGGAGGAGGAGGAGGATGACGATGTGAATTCTGTTTTCTCAATGCTGATGAAGATGGAGGAGGAGGAGAAGGAGGACGAGGAGTCTCTTTTCTCAGGGCTGATGAAGATGGAGTCGGACGAGGAGGAATAGAAGGAGACCTCTGTCTTCTCGGGGGCGATGGCTCTAGATGAGGAGGGAAGTGATATCTGTTGGGATTTGATGAGTGATCATCGCGAGTGGGCGAAGACTCGCAGTCATCCTCATCATCAGAGGATAATTGATGATCAAGCTTAATGAAGCGCTTGCGTCAGGCCACTTGAGAACCCTTGTTTTGACCAAGTTTCGGCCTGTCTTCCTCTATGGGATACTCAATGGGTATCTTGTTAAACTTCTTATCAAGTATTCTATCAATGGTGACGCGAGCGTACCCCTATAGAATTGGGCGGCCATTAATTGTCCCATCTCCTGTAGGCTAGGCCTAGCCAAGCGCCACCTTGTCCTTTGTCCATTCCTAACGGATGTACAACTTGACATTTACGGGTTCAGTGATGCTGTCTGCCGGATGAGGCACATTCGCCTCTTCTTTGTCGAGTGGGGTCGATCCGCAGTTGCTGCGACCCCTAAACTGTGGGCGAAAGGTAGTAGGAGTAGAGTTTTGTGGTACTCCTGACCCCTTGGACAGTAAAATTTACTCGACTCGCGCTTCAACAGTCGCCTCAATCCGTGCTTCCATTCTGTCTTCCATCTCTTTTAGTCACCTCAAATACTCTGCCTCCTGTTCCGCTCTACCCCTCGAGCGGCTTCGGTAAGTGTTAGATTCTTGGGGGAATGCTAGTTTCCAAGGAACAACACCGGTTCCTCTAGTGCGACTAGGGTGCTCCTTGGTTTCGAGTGCTTGGGTGAGCATGTCTTTCTCCCTATTAGAAGTGCGAGTCCCTTGCCTCACCTCCTTAGTTACCTGGGAGATCCTCTGGATGAGTTCGCTCATGGGTTTATTTGTGGAGCTAAAGCTCCCGTCCTCGGCGTGCCGTACATTCCTTCTCATACAGTATAATACCGATCTAGGCTCCCAATCGGCTGTCTCAACCTGAACGCCTTCCTCAGCAAGGCGATCCATCTTTTAAAGTTCTGCTTCAAATTCTGGCATCTTTTTTGGCATAGCCATGAGAGCCGAGATGATGAGGATTC